ATATTTATTTATTATTATATTAAATTTTAATATATTTTATATTTAATATCTTTTTATTTAAGTTTTTTTATTAATATATTTATATTTTCCTTTAAAGTAATAATTTAAAATATTATATCTATTATATAAAATAATAACTATTAAAGAAACTATTAAAATTATTTTAAAATATTTATAAATCTTTATAATATATCCTTTAAAGTTATAATATTTAAGTTTAAATTTTATAAAGCTATTATAATTATTAAATAATTATTAATAATATTAATAATTATATACCTATATATAGGAAGTTTTATTAGGGTAAAAATATTAAAAGTTAAAGGTTTTAACTTTATAACGTTTTAAAAATAAGTTTAAAGTATTTATATAAATTAATCTTTAAAAAAGGATATTGCTTATTTTTTAAGTATAATAAACTATTATAATATTACTTAACTATAGTTTTATATATTTATTCTATTATTATATAAGGAGGGAAGTTCTAATTTTCGCCCCTTATTCCCTTTCCTAACGTTATATACAATGTTCCTTGGTCCGTGCTATATATCGGAAATTAGGCTTCCTTGGTTCCGTAATACAAGCAAGACCTAGATACTCGCATATCTCAACATATTCATTGAATGAGTTCACGTACAGTTGCCCGGAGAAAAGATTCAGCGCTATGATGAATCGGCGAGTGATCGCTCGGTCTTTATTGGCCTCAGGTACTGTGTACAAGTCCAGTTTATCCAGAGGCTGGTGTCCCAGGTTGGGCCGAGCAGCATACATGTGCAACACTACGTGACTGGACTTCTGAATATCCAAGAGCAGCTCATTTGCTTCGTAAGGGCTGATAATCATCATGTGTGTAACATCTCCATGGAAATTCTCGGAGGCTGTGAGAATCCACTGTACTACGCGCTAATATCCATCTAATGTATTAGGAAAGACAGTTTTGGAGAGAAGGTAATTTATTGTATCCTGAGAGAAACGAAAGCAGTGGGAAATCTCTTCCTCGAAGGTCGATCGATCCTCTAAGTTGATACCATCGAGTTGCCTGAACTCTTCAGACAGCCCTGTCGTACTTAATCAGGACATCTTGTATAATATCTGTCTGAAGGAGACGTATACGCGGAAAGCCACTATTGGGAGGTCGTTGCTGCACATCAGGGAGTATGCTCTTGGAAATTTGCAAAACATTTTGAACCGGAATCCATCCTTCAGGGCTGTAGTGAAGTGACCGCTGTAGACCAAGTGTGTACAGCAGTTCAAATTTGACGCTGAAATTCTCATCACTCTCATCGACAATGTCCGGACAATGGGTATCTAAGAGCTCGAGCTTTTTTTACCAACGCCTGGCTAATATCGTGGTCTCCGAATTGCATGCTTCAATACCCAGCAGAATGAAGGATAGGATATTTTCTAGGTGTGTTAGTAGAATACCACCTGACTCCATACACTCTTTCAGGAGCTGCTCTATGATATATGCGCTATCCTTGTCAATTTTACATGCCTGTCTACAGCGACACGAGGGCACATACACTCTGCGTTATTTATATAGCTTATATTAGGAAGGATATGATGCCATTTGCAACTAGTAAACGCATATGAAGGCTCTAATAAATAGCTAGTCGAAAATAATGCCTATAGGTTATAAGGACTGGCGAGGAATTGCTCCAATCATAATACCATATATATTATAATAATAATATCATTTTTATTTAGTTATATATCATTTATAGATTATGGACTTTAATCTGAATCATAATCAAATGAGTATCCGCTATCCGAGTCTTCATCCGAATCCTCATCCGAGTCCTCATCATAAGAATCTTTGTCATCTGAGAATTCGGAATCCGAAGATTCAAAGTCCCCCTTTGACACAACGGAGCTATCGTCATCCGAACCTTCGGACTCATCAATACAGGCCAAGCTGTAGTTCAGGTAAGCGCCCATCGAATTTCCTAATTGTAACATCCCGGATAATATTACTAACCTGTCCAGCCCCATCATATCGTCGTAGGACGGGGGGAGATGCTCCCGGATGTCGAGGGACCTCGCGGCCTTGGCTAAATCCTCCCAGAACCTAGCCATGTAACGGAGAGGGTAGAATCTCGCAATTGAACAGTCCTTCGTGAAGAAGTTGAGTAAAAACACTCGATCATTCTCGCCGGGCATTTTAGAACAACTCACGTCAGTCAGTTCCCAGTCATCGTACCTCTGGACTCGTGCCGTAAGTACATTGTGCGGTTTGGCTATGGCCTCAATCTCAACGCCAAAATAATAAAACAACATAATTCAGGGAACGTTGCGCGGGCTCCTATGTCTATCGACAAGGCTCGACGATGTCGAACTCTATATTTCAAACTCAACTTCCCAGATACCTATACCGCGAGTCTTTCGCAGGCCGGGGGTACATACTTGATTGTCTTTGCGCTTCCAGCTATCGCGACTGGCTCAACTATCAACGCCATGGGCACTCCCCTGGGAATAGGCTCAATGCTCCTCCGGCTGCTACGGTACATGGCAGGCACAAAGGAACAAGGCTCGCACACTGTTTCGACAACTGTGCATACTGATTGGAGTTTTTCCACATCACTAACTGCAGCTGATATGTTATGCGTTGTCCTGCAACTCATAGACGGTGTTAGCAAAGTGCAGTTTTTGAGGCTCAGCTATGCTGTTAAATTGAACATCTGACCATTCGTGCATGGGCATGGACAATGGGGCTGCATTCCGCCCTGAAATTCCCTGAGGAATTCTGGCTCTGCAGGAGTTATGTAACCACCTGGATGGTGTGCTGTCAAGCCCATACATAGCCGAGTCCAATGAACACTGCTTAGGCGAAACTTAGGCGATAACGGCGCGCCAATGGCTGTTGTTGAGCTGCTTTGGGGTCGATAGCCCCCCTGGATGGTTCCCGGCGGATTTGCCAACCGTCTTTATCTAGCAGATAAGACCACAGCAGAAGGAGAATGAGGCTGGGGTCGAGCACGACGTGGTCGCGGGATAGTGTAGCAGCAACAAGTTTTAGGTGATAGCTTATCTCATGGCTTACCAGCAGGTTACGTTGCATATTACCTATTATTTCATCCTACAAAACTTCACAGAAGCAGGGGTCCAGAAGATGCAGTGCTAAGTTTGTTAGGCATAACTACGGCATAAACATGTCCAATAATACGACACGAGCCCTCCTTAACTATTGAAGTGATTTCAGGTCACAATAGAAGTTCAAGGGTTATCCGTAGACCCGTTTCGTGACCAAACCAGGCCAGACCCTTTTCTTTTAAGGCATTCCACCTAGAGTATTAGTCCTGGATTAATGGCTCAAGGCTTGTATAGTCTACCGACCCAGAGAAAAAGAATGTAAATCGCATGCTGCCTGGGTCTTCGGCTTCGTCGTGACGGCATCGCGTCGCTCGTATAAATACAGAAAAATCAGCTCCCTAACTCCTCGTGACCTATCGTATGACTCATCTTATCCCATTCCATATTTTCCATATGTCCTTGTAGTCCGCACTACTTCCTACGGGTTTCTTGCATCCCTGCTGGGCTCAGCCGCCTAGGGCAGGGGAGAACTGGCGACCATGCCACCGGTCCAGTAGTGAATTCCCTCCGGGCGCTATATAATCACAGCTCCACTATCTCCCATATTCTGGTGTTGGACTCTCGCGTGGGTAGCTGGTAGACCGACTTCTCCGATTTCCTTATGCGGGTACCTGATGAGCTGACTCCTCCGATTTCCTTGCGTGGGTAACTGGTGGACCGACTCCGTGTTTTTGGTGGAGGTAAAGCTGGGCCACCAGGGGCACGCAGAGACTGTCGACGGGTAACGTTGTGCACGGCCGGCCGGGTTCCGAGCAGAGGGTACAGAGCATTTTGGAAATAATCTTCCGGGACGCCCATGGTGGCGGCGTCTCTGATGCCGTAGTTCATGCGGTCGGTGTATTCAGTCCGAGGGTCACCAGGGGCAACGAAATCATAACTTATGTAGACCAGCACCCTAGGTTGGAGATAGGCTCTGCGTTTTCTACCCGACGTCATCTGCAGTTGTGAGGCGCCGATTGCCCGCTCCAGACTGCCGTCTTCTGCTAGCGACTGGGTCGATATCTGTAGTGCCCTCGGGGCCTGATGTAGGAGAAGGGGAAGGTAATCCTTTGAGTAGACGCCCTTGGACACACCCTCGCTTCTGTCTAGACGGGGCTCATCACCAACACCTAGCTCGTATACTAGACCATGGACCGTATAGCCACTGGCGGGGACGATATTGGCGAACCCCCTTTCGTTAATGAGCCAGCGGTAGTCGGGTAAGACAGCGCGTCCGACATAGTAGCTGTGTGGGCATCGCGTCGCCATCTGTTCCAGCCAGAGGTTGCTGCCATAGGCGAAGTAGAGCTGTCGACGCGCTGTCGAGGGTCTCGACATCGGTGTAAGTGGGTGCGGTGCGTATGTAGGGGAGACGAGAGCGCGTGAATAGTGGGAAACCGCAATCTGTGAGGATTTCTAGGTGAAGACGAATGTGCTTGTAACTCTCTGGCGAACTTTCGGGGATGGGAAATGATGGAAAATTGATGGAGGGGGTTCTGGTATCCGTGGTCGAACCAAAAGTTGTTTACTACCACCCACCTCACCACCATCTCTGACTTGACAGCATCAATGCCTACCTCGCCTGCCTACCTACCTACATGCAGGTCAATCGCTACCTTACTTACAGGGGTTATAGGGCGTGTGGGGAGTGTCAGCCTCTACGGCCCACCTGAATTGACCGTAATGCACATACCTATATTTATACCTACCTTCAACATCAAATTGATAGAGGTATATTCAGAGTCACATTCAGGGTTACCTTCGGTGCCAGCGTTACGACTTCCGCGTCTTTTCTAAATTGCTTGACTTCCGGGGGAGCATACAGTAAATACATGTACATACATACACTTATCTACGTACATTCGAGGTGGCGTGGGGCGTCTTAAGTTGAGCACTTCCTATTTAGGTAGGTAATATAACAACCAATTTAGGTAGCCCTCGCATTTTTAGGTCTCCCGCGCTCGCTTCCAGGTTAGAAACCATTAGCATTCAGTGTTTGTTGTTAGATAGAGGTTTCAATTTGCTCATATCAACAGCAACGTAGAGAGATGATGGAATGTCAGTCATGAGGTCGAGCGTTGAGCTGCCCGTCACCCCAAGCCGGGTTTCGTCGGGTATTAAAGAGTCTCGTCCTCTCGCCTTATCGCCCTCCGCATTACTCTGACCCAACCCGCCACGTCAATATCCTAGGCCAACACTTGAATGTAGCGGTATACGCTCAATCCGGAGGCAGCGCTACTGCACCTCTACGCCCGGCCAATACACAGGCTAGAACAGAGACGTCGGCGGCCCCGACGTCTCGCATGTCTACAATGTCGTACGCCGAAGCGGCCAGCAAGGGCGGAGCCAAACTGCCCACTAAATCTGCACTCAAAGCGAACCCAATAGGGTCGACAACCTTATAGGCACCATCGAACTATAACGCTACATCGGTGGCGACTATTAAAGCCCGAAAGGATATACGTATATTTGTAAGGTTGAACGAAAAAGCGCCTATATTTAGCTAGGTTAACGCTTATATAATTAGAATATTACTCCTATAATATTTAAGTTTTTTAAAAAACGTAATCTAAAACGTAGTATTAATAAAGATAGGTTAAGTAATTAAAGCTATAAACCTAATTATAAAAAATAAAATCTTAAAAGAAAAAAATATAGGAATAATTAAATTAATTTTATAAGTTTAAATTATAAAGCTATTAAAGAAATAGGTAATATATATAATATTATAAATTTTTATAATAATAATTAATTATATTATTAATATATTTATACCTATTATATAAATAATAATAATAAAAAAAATTAAAATATAATTAAGGGTAATTTTAATAAATATATATATATTATATAATAAAGTAAACCTATATATAGAAAAAGTTATATAAGTAGTTTTTTTTAAATAGTTAATATAGCAATTTAAATTATTTTTAATTAATAAGCTTTTATAATAAAAATAATATTAAACCTATATTATATAATATAATCTTAAATATTAAGGATATTATATAATTAAGTTTTATAATTAAAAGGTGCTATATAAAAATTATAATATATTAATAAAATAATATAAATTAATAATTAATAAAGTATATATAAACTTTTAATAATATATAAATTATTATAATTTATACTTTATTAATTATAAAGACTATTTATATAAATTAAAAAAGGTTAATAGTAATATAATCCTATTAATATAAATTAAAATAAAGGCTATTTAATATATTAATAAAAAAGTATATAATAATAAAAATATACTATTAATATTAATTATAATAAAAAAAGAAGCTATTATAATAAGTTAATTAAAATAATAAAGCAATAAAAATAAAAGGAAGGCTTTATTAATATTTTAAAAACTTATATTATAAAATTTTAATTTATAAAGATATACCCTTTAAAAACCTATTTAAAAAATTATCCTTATAAATTAATTAATAAAAGAATTATTTATAAATAATATTACTTTAAAATCTATATTTATAATTAATAAAAATGAAAAAATAAAGGAAAAATAAAAAGAAAATAATATAAAAGAGGAAATAATAATAGCTATAACAGTTAAATAATTAATTATACCGGTATTACTTTTATAAATTAAAAATATAAAGAAAGTAATAGTTATAATATATATTATAATTAAATTTATAAAAATTAATAAAAAAGTAATAAAGGTAATAAAAGTTATTTAAAAGAAATAAAAAAGTAAATTAAAAAGTAAAGTAAGGATTATTAAAGGAAACTTTAATTTATAATTAAAAACCATTTAAAAAAAAATAATAATATAAATAATTTATATTATTATATAAAATATAAGGTATAAAATGGATAATTATTTTATATTTTTATAAAAATGTTAAAAAAAAGAAATAAATATTATTATAATTATAAAATTATAAATAAATAAAAAAAAGAATAAAAAAATATAAATTTATTAAAGATATAAAAACTATAAGTTAATAAATATTTAAAATATTAAAAAATAGAATTAATTTAAAGTTATAATATATATTTAAATATAAAAAAAATTAAAAGTTAAAATAAAATATTTTATATATTATTAAAATTTAATATAATTAAATATTAATAAATATAAACTTTTAATATATTATAGGGTATTAAATATAAAGGTAGTAATAAATTATATTATAGTATTGGAACCTTTAAAAAATTATTTAATAATAGATAATTTAAATATATATTATTTAAATTAAGAATTAAAAATTATAACCCTTTATAAAGGGTAAAAGGTTTTAAAATAGTTAATAAAAATAGGTATATATTTTATAGGAAAATTAAGTAAATTAATATATAAAGTAAAATATATTATAAACTTACCTTTTTTAAATATATTTTATATTAATAATTAAATAGTAAAAGAATTAGAAATATTATTAAATTATAAACTATTAAATATAACCCTTTTATAAAAATAACTAATTAAACTTTAAGAAAAATAAAGGAAAATCTATATTAAAAACGAAAAATTAAAAAGATTATATAATATAATTAATATTAAGCTATATATATTATTAAATATTAATATTATAAATATACTTAATAAAGTAAAAAAAGTAGTTAAAATATTAATAAAGCTTATTTTAATATATATAAATATTATTAAAATTAATAAAGGTAAAAGGGGTAAGATTACCCTTTAATAAATATATAATTATATAAAAGTATAATTAGTATTTAAGGAAATTTAAAATATAAAAAATAAAAATATTATAAAGTAATAGTTTTTTTTAATAATATAAAAAGTAAAAATAGAATATTAAAAAGAAAGGATAAATAATATAAAGTTTAATAAAAACCTTATAAAAGTTATTAATTAATATTAATAAAGAAATATAATTAAAGTATTACCTTTTATAAATAATAAAAATGTTATAAAAGGTTAATAAAAAAAAGCGGAATACTTTATAAAAAGGATCCTTTAATAATTTAATATAAATAATAACCTATTAAAAGTTAATTTAAATAAACTTATAAAAATATTTAAACTAATAGAATAAAAGGAATTTAAATTTAAAATATAAGTATTTTAAATATTAAAGTTACTTTAAAATATTAAAGTTATAATAAATAAAGTAAAGAAATATATTATAAAAGTTATATTTATATTATTAAAGAAAGATTATATAATAATTAAATACTTTATAATAATATAATTAATAATAGAAAAATATTATAAAGCATTATTAAAAAAATACTTAAAATATAATACCTTTTTAAAGGTATAAAAATAAATTAATATAATTATATTATTAAAAGTAGGAAAAATGGACTTTATAACTTATAAATTATAAAAATTAATTGCTTTATTATTTTATATAGGGAAGGGATTAAAATAATTTATAATAAAAAGAATAATTTAAATAATATTTTAAATAGGATTAATTTATTTATAATATATAAAAGCTATATTTAAAAAGTTAATAATTAATTTAATAACTAATTTAATTTATAATATAAAACTAATATTAATTAATAATAAAGTAGTTATATTAATAATATTAAATATATAAGGTATATTTAATATATTATTATAAAATAAACTATTAAATAAAATATAAAAATAAAAGTAGCTTAATATAGCTATCCTATTAATTAAAAGCTTTTTAATTAAAAGAAAAGTTATTATATTTTTAAAAAATATATTAATAAATTTTAAAAAAGTTATATATAAAACTTTATAAAGCTTATTAATATTATTAATATTATATATATTATATATATATAAATTAATAAAAGGAGATTTTAATAAATAGGGTTATATAAATAACCTTAAAGTTTTAATTATAGGTAAAACCTTAAAGTAAAGTATTTAAAAAATGGAAAAATAGGTTAATAGGATTATTAAATATAAATAAAAGAATAAAATTACATTTATATTAAAAAAAATAAAAGTAATTTATTTTATAAAAGGAAAAATAAAAAATAACCCTATAATATATTTAAAAGATAATATAAAAATATAATTAATTCCTTTTATAAACCTTTTAAAACTTTAAAAGACTTTAATATTATAATAGTTTAGAATATTTTTAAATAGGAAATTAAAGTTTTAAAAATATATAAAAAAATAAATAATTAAAGGAATAAAAATTATAAATTATATATATATAATTTTAATAATTATTTAAAGATTATTAATAATAAAACTATAAAAAGTTATTAATACTATTTTATTATTAATATTCCTTTATAAATATAAAGTATAATATAAAAAAAGAATAAAATTAATAAATAAAATAATAAATAACAAAAAGGAAACTATAAATATTAAATTAAATAAATATATTTTAATAATATAAAGAGCTTTATTTAAAGTAATATAAAATATATTATTTATATAAAGAACTTTTTTTAAATATATACTTTTTATTATAAATAAAATATTAATAATAAATATAATATTAAAATAAGTTAAATATAGGTTTATTTTAAAGATTAAAATAATATATAAAATATACCTATTAATATTAAGGTTAATATTAAAAACAATTTAAAGAAAAAAAAAAGTAGGGTATATTTAATATATATATATATATTTATAAATAATAATAAATTTATTATTAAATATAAGAAGATTAATATTATATTTATTTAAATATTTAAAAGGATATATAAATAATTTTATAAAAGGTATAAAGAAAAAGGAAATAATAAAAGCTTTTAAATAATAATTTATAAAATAATTTATATTTAATATTATAATATTTTTAAATAAATTAAAAACTATAAAAGGTTTAAACTATAGTTATATTTTATATAAAGGGAAAAAGTTAATTATAAAAAGCTATAGAAAAATGGACCTTATTAAAGTAATTTTTAATATAAAAGTAATAAAAGCTTTATATATTTTATAAAAAGCTATAAAATAATACCTTATTAATATTATAATTATATTATATATAAATAATATAATAATATTATTAAATATATAAAAGAATACTTTAATATTATTATAATAAATATTTATTAAAATATATAAATTAATAAAAAAATGTAATATTAAATTATATTAAAGCTTAAAATATTATAATATTAAAGGTAATAAAAAAGTAAATATATAAGTTAAATATAGGGTTAATAAAGGGTTATTTAATTTAAAATTAATATTAATAGTAATAAAATTAAAAAAGATAATAAAATATTAAATAAAGGAAATAATAAAGAATTAAATTAAAGATAAAAAGATTAATATATTTAATAAATTTATAATTATAAAAATAAAATATAAATTAAAAAAGTACTTAAAAGTATTAAATTTATTAAAAAAAGCATTAAACTAATATTTAAATATAACCTTTATATATAAAGATTATTTATAATATTATAAAAAATTTAAACATTATAATATAAAAATATATTATATATATATTTTATATATTAAAGGTATAATTAAAAAGGGATTAAAATATATAATATATTATAAAATTATAAAAGCTTATAAAAATAAATAGCTTTAACTATTAAAATTAAAGTTAAAAAATAATAGTAAATTATAATTAATAAATAATTAATTAATAAAACTATATAACTTTAATATAATATTTTTTAAGGATTAATATAAATATTAAGCTTAATTAATTTAATACCCTTAAGAATTTTTAAAGTTTTATTAAATAATTAATTATTAGGAAAAGATTTACCTATTTTTTTAATTAAAAGGAAAGTAATACTATATAATAAAGGATTTAAGGAAAATAAGGAAGATAGAAATAAAAAAGGAAGGGGAAAGTAAAAAGGAATTAAAGGTAATATTCCTTTAAACTTTTTAAATATAATAACTTTTTTTAAATTATAATAAATAGAAAAATATAAAAATAATAAAAAACGATAAAATAATAAAAATAAGCTATAAAAATAGCTATTAAAAACGATTATTAATAATTAATAAATAATAAGGTAAAGGTAAAAGCTTAAATCAATAAAAAATATTATATTAAATATAGTAATAAAAAATAAAGGAACAAATAACCTTTAATTTAATAGATTAAACTATAGTAATTATAAATAATAAAATGTTAAGCTTACGGAAGGTATAATTTAATAATTTAATTACGATAAAAGGGATATAGAAAGGGAAGACCGGAAAAGGGAGATTTAACAGAAACCTTATAGGAATAACTTTATGTAACCAACCTAGCTATAGCTCACTACGTCCTAGTACCCCAAGGGAGGTCAGAGTTACGGCGGATAGACTGCCCCTCACGACGTTAAAAACTACAACAACAACAACAACTGACCCAACCCGCCGCTATGGAGTAGGTACTTGAATTCAGTCTTTGCGCCCAATAGCTCTGATCCTCCCGATCGGGCCGGTGATTTTACAGCGTCTACTTTGGATGATAACGAACTGAATTTGCTCTGGCCTGTCTCATTTCCTCGCCAAGAGCTTCTGTGCGTCGACCCGAACAATGATGCGGCCGCTGTTCGGCGCCGTGGCATCAAGTTGGATGCATGCATGTCTATCCAACGTCCAGTTGAACGGGCCGGGCCGCGTGCTAGCACCATCCAGCTCCGCCCGATATACTTGAGCCCCACCCGCGATGCCGGGGAAGAGCCGGGAATAGGCGTCTCGGAAGTGTTTGATGGCGAGCTCGTTCGCCAGTTCCAAGTCCCACGACGTTGCCAGGATGTCGAAGCGTGGTATCGAGCCGGGTTTGTCTTCGTTGGCATAGACGACATAGGTCATCTGGTATTCATTCAGCGTGGCCTTAGGGCACGCTGACTTGATCGCGCCTAACATGTCCGCCGGAAGATCGAGGCCTGAGTCCGTATGCCGCTCACGATTGGCATAATGTAGCTCTTGGAAGTCCACAAGGTCAAGGGCACCGCTTTCGACCTCGGAGACTAGAGGTTGTGGTCTCTCAGGAGCTGCGATAGCGTCAGATGTAAATAGGGGTAGGTGCCTTTGCGGACACAGTTTGACTTACTCGGCCCCCCAACTTCCCCCAGGCGCTTGGTCTTAGCCTTCATTGAACCACCATCACCATGTGGCTTGGCTACGCTGCCCCCTCCTCTGAGGTGATTTGGACCGGACAGAGTTTCATTTCTCTTTTCCAAGCATGGATTGACATATTTGTCCACGAACGACCGAGATACCCCTAAGATTTCCGCGTCCAAAATTGCCTTTTTCATGCGTAGAACGTACTCCTCACGGATCGGGCCGTCAGTGGTGTATTTCTCGCTCACATAAACTAGCGCCTTGACATCCTTGATGTCACTAGGCTCGTTATTATTAGCATAGTCGGGGTTTGAAGCACTTGTTTTTCGATCCATGGATGTCTCTGGGGTCATCCGATCTAAGGTATCACTTAGACTTAGACCTTGCGATATCGACCCCGTGGTTTCTTGCACACTCCCCAACTGTGCGATTAATTCAGCGACTTCGAAAGATTTTCGGGTTTCGAAGTTTCGGTGAGGTTCAAAAGCAACTTTCAACAAGTGCTTCTGGTAAAAGCCTTTACCCACGCCCTCGGAGCGATCTAGTGATCTCTCATCTTTCGGATTGACGAGGTAAAGGAGACCCTCCACAGAGTCATCGGGGGATCGTACCACATTGGCAACCCCCCGATCATTGATTTGCCATCTGTAGCCAGATAGCACGGCTTTTCCTTTGAAAATACTTGCAGGGCACCGATTAGCCATCTGCGTGAGATGAAGGTTGCTGCCGTAGGCGAAATAGAAGCTGCCGCCCTCCATGACTGGACGCCTGAAAGGGGGACTTTTCTTCGAACTTGACGTGAAGAAACTCATTTTTGCTATGAATAGGGTCAGCGCCTTCGAAAGAAATCGCGGCTAGTCAAGTCTGAGTGCTGGTTCGGAGAGGATGATTCAGTAGGCAGCCCGCAATGAACAACATGGGGTTGAGGTGTACCCCGATTCTGGTGTTGAATTAGGTAAGCACGTTTAATTCGCTGCGACCTGAGAAGGGCTCCGTGCGAAGTAAGAACTCAGATCGTGGACGTTAATGTACCTCATAAGTCAACAAGGAGCTGGACTTCAGTCGACCCAAGCTGACCCACCCAGATGCAACATGAGGCTGATGCTTTTGTGTCTTTCCCCGAGATAGTAGAGAATCAACCACTTGTTGAAGCGATGTAGCCGCTGAGGCTTGCCTACGGTAAACCACATCACCTACGCATACACGCCCGTCCGTTGTTCAAAACGGGCAGGTCATTCAAGTAGTTTCACCGCCCTGATTGGGAGCGATGGCTGACTTCCGCCGGCCTTTGCAGCCTGATCGCGTACTCGCTGCAAGTCTGCATGTGCCGATATTAAAGCGACCGGTGATATACATGAGCCATGGCTCTTTCAGATTTGATCCGACACCAAACTTATGGTTTCTCTGTCCAGAGCAACTTCTGGCCTGTGTCGGTAGTACATAAATGCCCTGAGTTTTCGATATACCATCCAAACTAGTTGTGAGACCATCCTCGAAGCACTCACCCGTCATGGCAGATTACCATTTTGGTATCGAGATTGAGGTGCGCGTGGAGCCGCACAAGATTAGACCTCCGTTGAGCGAAAAGCATGCCTTGTATTATGGGAAGCTTGCAGCGGCCCTTAGAAAGAGAGGGTTGGAAGCCAAAGCAGACGACCTAGCGGGGAAATATCGAAAACATCCGGAACATTATGACAAGTGGTATGTGGTGAGTACCCGACTTTTATTGATTAAACGGTACCACACCTCAGGCAATCCTAGAAGAAATAGCTTTGAAGACTAACACTATATGTTTTTATCATAGACGAAAGATGGTTCTCTTGGGAACCCCCAAAACCTCAGTAAGCTGGCTATGCATCGTCGCTTTCTCGTCTTCGGTCATAGCACCTGAGAAGATACAATCATTGACAGCTAGCCGACAGTTCCGATGGAAGTGGTCTCCCCTGTCTTGAGCTGCAGACAAGATTGGGAAGAAGAGATCGACGTCTTCTGGCTAGCAATGCGCGCTGTATTCCACATGCCGGAACGATCGCCACTATGCGGAAGCCACATCCATATATCGAGGAGTTTGGGCAAGCGGTTCACCCTCTCCCAGCTCAAGTCGATTGCCTATGGAATCGTGATATACGAGCCGCTTATCGTTAGTCTGCTCATGTCGAACCGCGTAAACAATAAATACTGCAAGGTGAACACTGTGAATTCGTCCCGGCTTAGGCAGTGTGGCTCCAACACGCGGGCGGTTGCGAAGCTTATCAAGAGTGCCACTGATACCGAAATGCTGAAAGACATCATGCAGGACAGTAGGTATGTCCTGTGGAACTTCGACAACATCGTTCCCGGACGTTCGGGCACCATCGAGTTCAGAGGCGGGAGATGCCTGCGGGGAGAAGTCCGAACCAAACGGTGGATTGCCTTTACCATAGCAATGGTTCACGCCTTCCTCACCATGGTACGCGAGAGCACTAAAGATAGAGTTGCACACAAACTGACTTACATATCAGGATGATATCAGCCATCCTGATAGGATTTCGATCTCGACCTGGAGCCCGGAGGGGTTCTATGAGACAGTCAAAAAGAGCACCAGACAGCTATGCATGCGGGACCTTCTCCCCAAAGATTTCGAAGTGTTGAATGAGACCAAGAGGGAGGACTAATAGAGGGCATAGCGGAGAAGCAAACAGGAGTCAGGAGACTGATGTTAAGTGCCCCGAGATGTTCTACCTGGTTGGACATCAGGCTGAGAAGAGGACATACTACAAGCGTGATTCCATGGGTCTTGCCAGTCTATCTGACGGCGGGGAGTTTTGGAAGGATAGAGGTTTCCCGCCGCCAGTTAGCATTAGTGTCACGGAACGAGTATATGGAGTATAGTACATTATACCCTTGCGCTACCAAAAGGTAAACGACGTAATCAGGTCGAAACCCAGTGTCTCTATACTTGACTATATAGTACTGTAACATCCTGCGTGTATGTCACAGTACTATAGCTGAGTGTAGAGACGCAGGGTCTCGACCTGATTACACGTGGTTTACCTTTTGGTAGCGTAGCGGTATAGAACTACACTCCTATTCTCGTTCCGTGACAGTGTAGCTGTTTCAGTGAGTCTTCCAATGCCTTCTGTCCGAATGAATGAGTTGGAATCTCCGGTGTAGTCGCAGATAGTAGCTAAATTATTCAACATTTCGAAGGCGCGCTGAATCTCCGTGGGTGCAGTGTCAGCCGTGTCGTCGCTTTCCCATATAGAGTGGGAAAGCTTCAAGGTTATGAGAGCATGATGAACAAGCCAGCTCGTGTGAGCGATGCTATAGTCGCTCTGTTGTGGAAGTTGCGGGGGTAGAATAACATATTGATTATGTATTCCATAGCACTATGTGGCATCGGCATGAATCATGATATACCCATAGTCCACGGTGCGGCCGACTTGCAGCTCGGCCTGGCCTCCTTCACCGAAAGCCCCATGTCACACTGATGAGTGGATGAGGCGAAGAACGGAAGGGCAGGGAGAAATGATGTACACAAGTCGGTAGGTAAGACTCGAGCTTTGTGATGATGAATGACCTGGGAAGGCAGATCTTTGAATATCCCACGATTAGCTCAGGGAGTTCGAGTGAGTGAATGGAAGACAGAGCGAGGAAACTGCTGTGGTGGCTTGTTTGTCTTCTGGTTCTCGTATTGGCCCATTCATCGGTCGAATGAGTCAGCAGGTACTTTATCAACCATGTCAATTGAAAGCAGATTTGATACTGAAATTGTCTTCAATAAAGGCACATTCATGCTGTTGTGGTTGATTTTACCGTGTACCTAAGTAGTAGTGTAAGTACCAAGAAGTCACTGCCAGCTGGCTGGAGACAGAGTCGGGTGTCAGCTAGTCACTCGTCTTTGTCAGGAGACAAACAGGGAGACAATTTACCCCCGAAAATTATCGACCCACCAACCTTGAACGGGTCAGACCCCACCTGCCTTTCCATTACCAAACACCCACCCGCGCGATCTGGAAACCGCACCTCACAATTCAACGCGTCGCGTTATCTGAGCCTGGTCAGATCCCAGTGCCATCGAACCCACAGACATCCAAGAAGCTGTCCGCCCTCCACGCGCAGATCTGCATCCCTTCACCCCATATAAATTGCCAGCGCCTGTATTTTGCATTCCACTTTGTTGATTTCTCGATTTCATGTTATGGCGCCCTCCGGAGAAGCCTTGGAAAGACACCTTCAAGAGGCTACGCGCCAACTGTACTCTGCCGATCCCGGCGCCGTGACCGTCAATTCAGTTCGTCAGCGTGTCGAAGAACAGGACAGTCTGGAGAAGGGCTTCTTTGTGACACCAGAATGGAAAGCTCGCAGCAAGACGTTGATCACTGAATATGTCGTAAGTTAGCTTTACTTTAATACACTCTACAAGCTCGCGCGCGCCATTCAATTGACCGAGTTCTATACAGCAAAACCTAATGGCAAACGACTCCCCGTCCTCCATTCGAGAAACAAAAGCCGAACAAGATACCAAGCATGCTGTGAAACGATCCTCGAGCGACGAGCCATCTCCATCCCCTGTCGCGAAGCGTCAAAAGAGAGCTGGGTCTACTGCAACATCCAGGAACTCTAAGCCAAAGAAAGAGTCTTCCAGTCCAGCGCTCAGCGCTCTAAGCGATTCGGATGTGGAGTCTAAGACAACTAAGAAAGAGCCTGCACAGAAGCAGGAGTCAGACTCGGAATTAAGCGACCTTGACTTATCAGAACAAGACTTAAAGCAGGACCAGAAATCGAAAAAGCCAACTGCGACCCGAAAATCTAAAAAGGAGGAGTCGGAATCCGAGCTCAGCGACCTCAGCTCATTCGAAGACAAGCCGAAAGCGACAAAGAAACGTGGGCGTAAATCAAAGAAGCTGGGAGAATCAGAGGATGATGAGAAAGATACTAAAACTTCGACATCGCGATCGAAGCGCAAAGAGTCTATCGCTAAGACGAAGCGAACTACGAAACGCACTAAGGTCAAATCAGATAATGAGGACGAGATGGGCGTGGAGGATGATGTTGAAATGAACAAGAGCAACGAAAATAAAAGCGCCAAAGACGCAGATTCGGGGGATGAGGCCAAGCCAGAGGAGAGTGCAATTAAGCCAACTGTAGACGACTCGGACTCATCTTTGTCATCGGTACTCGACGAACCGCCCCCAAAGAAAAGAAAGGGCAGGGGTGCCGCAAAAGAAGCACCCAAATCCAAGCAATCTACGTCCAAAGAAGCGACGGGAGATGAGATAGAGATCAAGAAGCTGCAAGGCCAGCTCGTTAAGTGCGGAGTTCGCAAAATATGGGGCATCGAACTGAAAAAATACGGCGGTGACGGTAAAGCGAAGATTAGACATCTCAGAAACATGCTTCGTGATGTGGGAATGGATGGCCGTTTCTCGGAGGCGAAAGCAAGAGAGATCAAGGAGAGGCGAGAACTGATAGGCGAGTTGGAAGCTGTCAACGAGATGAACGAGCTTTGGGGACTCGAAGGCCGCGGTGGGCGTGCATCACGCAGCAAAGCGGTGCGCAAATCACTAAAAGAGGAAACAGATGAAGATGACGATGATGATCATGATGGTGATGAGAAGAAATCAAATGAGACGGATGAGAAGGACATCGAGGTTAAGGCTGCTTCGCGAAAATCTAAGAGGATGGCGGACCTTGCATTTCTTGGCAGCGACAGTGAGTCGGAATGAGGAGTCATGTCAATGGTTGGTGGGTTTAATGAAAATGGTTTTTATTTGGTTGGGTGTGCCATGGTTCAAAGTACGTTATGGATGGTATCGTGGTCACGGCGTTCTTAACGTTTCGCTATTTTGTAGCATTCATGCGCTGAGCTATCAAACTAAAAACCGCGACCGACCCCATGAACAAGACGGCATTGTAGAACTGGGCTATGTCAGTTCCGAGTAGCCATCTTTGATGCTTAATGAATGTCAAGAAGCGGTGATAAAACTGAGTACTTACAGCGCGCCGTGACACTTCTCGTTCTTCGTCGTCCGACCTGGCATCGATGAAGAGTCGTCGGAGATTTGGGAAGCTGGCCTATTTTCATGAGATGAGATGAGATGAGATGAGAAGATTCACCGGAGCCAAAGCTCCAGGTAGCTAGAGGGGTTTTAAGCTTTACTTACCATATCTATTCGAACTGGCGACAGCACGGCAAATCCCTTATGTAATCATTCAGAACCAGGCGTCCTCTTAAAATATCGGACTGAGACGTCAATGCCTGTGAGCTTGAGCGGTTCACTTAGGTAGGAGAGCGTGTAGTGTGGCTGAGGCACATAGGTAAGGTGAGCCTGAATGGTTACCTAAGGAGGTACCTAGAAGTACCTAGAGGTACCTACCTAGGTACAGTAGCTCCTAAAGTTCAAGACAGAACCTCCTCCAGCCTCAACTGTGGCTGCCTAGAAGCTGCCAACGGAGCCATACCGCAACAACCTTGAACTACCCGATGCTAGTCCAGGATCCACGTCGCCAATTGACCGACCATACAAGTCCCTTTCCGACCACATCACTATCTCGACGTTATTTAGACACCTTCGGTCCACGCTGCCATTCCCTACTACTCTAAAGCCTACCAACACGAAGCCGACGTTGTGATATTGGATGTTCTCACGCTAAGCCCTGGAAGGGCACCCCCGATTCTCCCAGTCCGCCAATCTACCAACTGAACGAACCCCCTTTTGTCCAGCTTCTATAAGTACCTGCATCGAGTTCCAGCAATCACTACATCATGGCGGTCAACCGCATTAGAGGTGCTTTTGCACCGCCGAGAAAGGGCGAGACATTTGAACTGAGGGCTGGGCTGGTGTCTCAATATGCCTGGGAGCGGAAAGAGAGTATTCAAAAGACTATCATGGCCATGACCTTGGGCAAGGATGTATCTCAGCTCTTCCCTGATGTCTTGAAGAATATTGCCACAGCGGACCTGGATCAAAAGAAGTTGGTCTACTTGTATCTGATGTGAGTGCCACTTCGGCCGCGAGGCGATTCAGTATGCCCTATTGCTGTTCAAGCTGACACGAGGAAAAGGAACTATGCGAAATCACATCCTGACTTGTGCATTCTTGCCGTCAATACGTTTGTCCAAGACTCTGAAGATCCAAACCCCCTCATAAGAGCGCTCGCGGTTCGGACGATGGGGTGCATTAGGGTAGACAAAATGGTGGATTACATGGAGGAACCCTTGCGGAAAACATTACGAGATGAGTCGCCTTACGTACGAAAGACGGCAGCAATTTGCGTCGCCAAACTTTTCGACTTGAACCCGACCATGTGCATCGAGAACGGCTTCCTCGAGACGTTACAGGAACTGATTGGGGACTCTAACCCAATGGTAGTGGCAAACTCCGTACAAGCACTAGCTGAGATTGCCGAGACAGCACCGGAGACGAGGGCATTGGTCATAACACCGCAGACACTGAAAAAGCTGTTGATGGCGTTGAATGAGTGTACTGAATGGGGTCGCGTCACCATCCTCTCAACACTAGCCAACTACCCCCCTCAAGACGTCAAAGAATCCGAACACATTTGCGAAAGAGTAACACCGCAGTTTCAACACGTTAATCCGAGCGTCGTGCTTGCTGCTGTCAAGGTGGTTTTCAGTCATATGAAGCTTATTAACCCTGATCTTGTGCGGCAGTACTTGAAGAAGATGGCACCACCTTTAGGTGAGTTGAAATTTGCTTTGCTACTGTCCTGAGTACTGATGAAAGATCGTAGTCACACTGGTGGCTTCTGCGCCCGAGGTTCAATATGTTGCTCTTCGGAATATCGATCTGCTTCTGCAAGCTAAACCTGATATCCTCAGCAAAGAATTACGCGTGTTCTTTTGCAAATACAACGACCCCCCATATGTCAAGCTAGAGAAACTTGAGATTATGGTCAGGATAGCGAACGATAAGAATTATGAACAATTACTAGCGGAGTTGAAAGAATATGCCTTGGAAGTTGATATGGATTTCGTACGGAGAGCGGTCAAGGCCATAGGTCAAGTCGCTATCAAAATCGAGAGCGCGAGCGAGAAGTGCGTCAACGCGCTGTTGGATCTGATTGCCACGAAAGTCAACTACGTGGTTCAAGAGGTGATTGTAGTGATTAAAGATATTTTGCGGAAATATCCTGGGTATGAGGGTGTCATACCAACCCTTTGCAACCATATCGACGAGCTGGATGAACCAGATGCGCGCGGTGCGTTGATATGGATTGTTGGCGAATATGCGGAAAAGATCAACAATGCCGACGAGATCCTGGCAAGCTTTGTTGATGGGTTCATGGAGGAGTTCACACAGACGCAGTTGCAGATTCTAACTGCGGTTGTCAAGCTGTTCTTAAAGAAGCCAAGCAACAACCAAGGCTTAGTACAAAAGGTCTTGCAGGCGGCAACAGCCGAAAATGACAACCCTGATATTCGGGATCGAGCCTATGTTTATTGGCGCCTCTTGTCTGGGGACCTGGAGGTGGCTAAGGTACAAAATTCTACACCTTGAATAACCTTGACACAAAAGCTGACCAAGTATAGAACATCATTCTATCGCAAAAGCCGGCTATCTCCACAACCATGACCAGTTTACCGCCAGCATTGCTAGAGCAGCTGCTAGCCGAGCTGTCTACTTTGGCATCTGTTTACCACAAGCCCCCAGAGTCATTTGTTGGCAAAGGCCGTTTCGGCGCCGACGAAATCCAGCGCGCAGCTATTCAAGAACAGCGGCAAAACGCAGCCGAAAACCCCATTGCTGCCTCGGTTGCGGCTGCTCAGAACGGCGCACCCGCGCAAAATAATATCGAGAACCTACTGGATATTGACTTTGACGGTGCTGCCCCGGCCTCACAAGAGCAGAACTCGGCGAGTGCTACGCCGGAGCGCGTGGCTAGCCCCGCAAACGCTGCCGGCCAATCCAGCATGGCTGATATGATGGGCTTATTCGATGCGCCGGCCCCAGCCCAGAATAATGACATGGGTCCTAGCGGCGCGAACGATATGATGAATGGATTCGCCGGGCTGGACTTGGGCGGATCAAGCCAGCCCCCACCTGCTTCCGCGCAGCTTGGCCACGGCAACCCAGATCAGAAGAAGAATGCTAATGATGACCTGCTAGGTCTCTTTTAGTTGATTGGGGGGCAAAACTCTCTTAAGGTAGACGAGAACCCACGGCGCCTCGACGGAGGTATATGTACACAGGGATAAATATTTTGGCTCCGTGAAGGGTGGGCAGGGCAGGGCAGTTTGTTGGAGCAAAAGGCGAATAGTATTTCCCCTTTCGTTGACGGAAACGAAAAAACACGGGTTTTATTATCGTACCTAAGACATACATGGTGGTTGCAATTAACTTCAAGTTCAACATTATGGGGATTGAAGAGCCGAACGCTGATATGCCTAATCCGATCTATAGATACAAAAACTGTGGAATTGGCAGTCTCGCTCGTTCCGTGTCTGGATTTCCCTCTCTCTGTGCGCTATTTTGTGATTCCCGTAGCCTTTGGTATGTAGGGGCGGCTCTGCTGTGCCGTGGCCCCGAAAATCCTAGATCCAGCTTGTCAGGGCAGATTTTGCCTGTCGATTCATTCATCCCCTGGATATATGCCCTTACCATATCCTCCCACTCTCGGCTCGGCGTTTATTTGCTCATTACTGGTATTTCCTTTCTCCCTGCATTCCTCATCTCATTTCTTCCCTTCATCCATCCATCCTCTTTCCTCCTTCAAGCATTCACCCCGTCCACCTTACCCCCCACCGTGCCGTCCAGCGGTGGATGCGGCTCGCCGCTACCCTCCTGCGTAGACGGCGCGCGCGCCTTCTCCCATTCCTCGGGCGTCTGGCATTTCGCGCTCCAGGCGTGGATGGCGGCGATCTCGTCGCGCAGCGCCGCGTTGACGGCGCGGTGTCGCTTCAGACTGCTTTGGCCGGCGAATAGGGGGGATACGATTAGGGAGGTGAAGGATTGGCCGCAGCCGCCTGTTTTTGTTGTTTTTGGATATTAGCGCGAGGGAGGGATGGTTCTTGGGGGATTTGGTGTATGTGGTTACGATCATTGTGGGATGTGGAATGCGACTTACCTGACATGTCGGTTACTTCGACATGGGTTGCTTTGAGACGCTCTGTCAGGGCGGTCTTTAGCGATTCTTCTGTTATGGATGTTGTGCTGGCCATGGTATTTTCTTCCTGATGGTATGGATTGTCTTTTTGGAGATTTATAGGATTCGATTAGTTTTACTGCTGTTCTTTTCCGCAGGTAGGTAATTGCTTCTGATTTGATGTGTAAGCGTTGTTGCGATCTCGCTGTATGCGCCCCGCGATGATGTAGCGGGTGGTTGTAGCGGGGTAGGTAGGTAACCTATGGTGGGGCCTTGCTTCAAGCACTTACATGCACAGATCAATGCATAGGTGCCATACCTATCATCAATAATTGATAGAAAACAGTTCAAAGTCCCATTATTATGTAGTTAGCTCGATTATTCATATGGTAGAGCGAAGGGTAGAAGCTCCGTTCATTCAAGTTTCGATCGCCGTGTTTAGCCCACCTACTCTCTACGCATATTATTATTATATATACCTAAGGTAGGTAGTTAGTTCTTGGCACTATCACCATCTTTCCACAAGCTCTCGCTCCGATATCTTCTCCCAAGGCTGCTCAATTATCAGCAAACACTTACTACTTAGGTAGTAATATGCGGTAACAGCGGTAGTCATGTCCTCCTCGGAGAGATTCCCTTCTTCTATTCGATAACATCTATGATAACCTATTGTCAATCTCATGACTAATCGAGACTCACAGACTACCTTGAAAGGCAGGAATATAATTCAACGTATTTGCCAAAGCTGTTACGTACGACCATAGCCACTGGAGAACTCGGGGTCCCGTCCGCTCCCCCTTAGATAAGCCGGTGAGCGCCGAATTAGTAGTTGGGTCGGTGACGACCAGCGAATCCTCGGTGTTGTACGTTTTTTCCAGTTTTTTACAGTTTTTTTTCGTTTATGTGATACTGTTTAGACCATCATGCGAGCCAAGGTAGCTAGCTCTCTGCTAGTAGTGGGGGAAAGCCAAGACTAAATGTGGCTGAAGCTTGCTTGCCATGTTACTCGGGGTCCAGTTTTTGCGTCACTCTTCTTCTTTTTACTTGGTTGGCTCTTGTAAGAGGAGCCATCTCAATCATCAATAATACATATTCATTGGTCGCCGCACTGGACATGGACATATTTATGTACTTAATCGGAATACGATGTGCCAAATGAGATGTTGACTCCACGAAAACTTCCTCTTCTGAGACTTAAAATACATCTACCCATCCTAAAACCAAAACCCATCAACACTGCTGCGTTTGCGACTCATCACATCAGCGCCAGATCTCATCTTTGGCATCCGCATAGTGTAGCGCGGACTACGGGTCATTTCGCAAGAATCTCGACAACAACGACCTTAGGTGTTAGGAGCATTGCTACGATGGCCAACTCCCCATCTTTCAGTGATGCAGTGGTTCAGGCCATGAAAGAATTGTGAGCTGACTATACCGTTTGCGTTTTTGAATGAATAATGTTTGACTGAGGAGAAGGTATCCCGAGGAGTTAGCTGATAAGTCATGGGATAACACGGGCTGTATGTGAACACCTGCTCCCACTAGAGTAGTAGTATGAGGTGTTGACATTGACGCAAATTATAGTACTTTTAGATCAAGCTCCATCTTTCCCGGGTCGAGCAAGCAATTCAACGCCAACGGTATTGCTCACTAACGATCTGACAAAACCTGTTGTGGATGAAGCCCTGGAAAAGGGGGCAAGTGTTATTGTGTGCTATCGTAAGCTCCTCTATGCCTATTGCCCTTTCAAGTCACTTCTTAACAACAAACTGTAGACCCCGTTATTTTCAAGCCGTTAAAATCTTTGACCACCAAGGATCCAATGCAAGCCCAGCTTCTTCGATTGATAGCGGCAGGTATATCGGTGTACTGCCCACATACAGCTGTTGATGCTGCCGTAGGAGGTTTGAACGATTGGCTATGTGATATTTTGGTCGATACCGATAAAGAAGTAAGGAGGACGGTTGCCGAGCCCATATCCCGACCACTGCCTCAAAGCCTTCAAGGCCAACAAGTCGGGTATGGTCGTGCGTTTGAGTTGAGCCAGTCCATCACACTTCAGACTCTGCTAAAACGACTCTCTATCGGTATCGGCGGACAGAAATACCTAATGGTAGCCCTTCCTCCGACATTGAGTGATCTTACAAAGACTCAAGTCATCACCAAGATCGCGGTTTGCGCTGGATCGGGGGCAGATGTGCTGAAGAATACTGACGCCCAAGTGCTAGTGACAGGCGAAATGGCTCATCATTATGCACTCCGACATACGCAACTCGGCCAGATTGTGGTCACATGTTTTCACAGCAACTCGGAGAGAAAGTTCCTAGAACAGAGACTCAAGCCACAGCTGGAGGCTCGACTTAAGGAATTCGGTCACGGGAACGCGGTTGTGCTCACGAGTAGCGCGGATAAAGATCCATTCGACATCATCGATGTTCGAGGTCTAGCTTGAGCATTCAACAGAGCGGTTGTCGGGAATTTGTGATGCCTCCTCGCAATTAAGTAGACTTAGATGTAGATGAAAACATCAATTAAATCCTTCGTGCAGTTAGGATGCATAGAATTTGAGATTGGTGTTGTTGGACCCAGAGATCGTGATCGTGATCGTCAGTAGCGATGTTGCGCATTGGCCAACGTTGAGGTACCGTCTCCTATATCATATGCGTGGACGGATTCGAAATACTCAGTTTAGACTTGAATCAGTCTTCAGGATTACTCTGGATATCAGGGCTGCGACGCTCTCGCCAGTTTCCTTTACTAGCCTCGCCGCGGATGGCGGCCTCCCCGTCTGTTATACATTCGTCGACGTCACCGCCTCCAAAACCCTGCTCTTTCCAGACAAGCAGCAGCTTCTTGGGCATTTTCCAGGCTTCTCTCGCATCTTCCAATCGACCTTCGGCCACGAGCGCGCGTAGTTTGTCAGGCGTGTCTAGAACTTCGATAGCTAACAGTCGGGTCCGGATTCTTCTTTGGCGGGCCTCATCCTCAGCCCTCGTGGCTTCTGTGGGCTCTGGTAGTGATTTTCGAAGCGAGTCTCGTATTTCGGAAGCTTGACTGTATATTTTTGCGATCGCGGGATCAAGTGTTGACGCCATCGGGTTTAAGGGGTCCATGTTTGTACGCATCTACCAATCGTTAACATCCGAACTAGTGGAAATGTACCAATATAGCTTCTGCCCTAGAGCGGAAGGGTCCGTTCGTGGTATAGTAAATCTGGCACGAACCTTTCGTATTGTTTCAGTGGCAGTGATCAGTTTACTATAATTATCATACACTAGGGCTTTCTTCTCAGCGTCGAGGGCCCGTGTCTCCCCCAATACACGAGTGTATAATCGCAGCAGGTCCTGCATGCCATTCTCTGCAAGGGCTTTCTTGACAAACGCGTCGGCATCGAAGCCTTCCTTATCTATTTCGCTTGGGGGGACTTCCGAGTGCTCGAGAAGTCCCGATCCACCGGTAGCATCCGTTACCTCGACCTGAGGTGGTGTCGCGGTTCCAGCGCCAGCTCCTTTTCGTAGGTTATAGTATTCGCGCAATGCAGCTCGGCTTCTCCTAGGGTTTGCATTTGGGGCAGCTAGGGAGCTGTTGGGGTTTGGGGATGACACAGGCGAACGAGTGCTGTCAAGGCTAGGACGCGCGGACGATGTCGGTGTGGTCAAGGAGTTGAGACGCCGTGGTTCACGAGGACTAGCAATCGTAGACATTGCGGATTATCTAGAGTCGGTGACTGGGTGAAAACTAACAGGAATCACGCAGGATAACTTGATTATGAAACTGGTTAGAGTCAAGTTGTTTCCGAATGCCTCTCTTGTGATAACTTCATACTGGTCACTACATAGTATGGCGAAGGTATGGTAGGTAATGTTACCTCACGCGATAATCTACATAGGTACCTATCAAACAGACCCCTGCAACTACCTAGGTACCTACTACTCTGAGGCTAGGTAGGCACCTAACCTAGCGGAGTTTAAGCTAACTGCCACTATAACTACCTCTATGGGCAGGTGAGCTTACAGTGCCCGTTGTAGAATGCTAAGCCACTGTGGCGCTAGCTTATCCAACTTGAGCTTCACGATTGCTCATACCTGTACTCGCCTGTGGAAGTCTTCCGTCTTTTGGCTATTCTAATATCGAAGAAGAATCTCATCGCTATGTAGGCACATTTCCAGGTCCATTGATCTATTTGCAGAATTCTTGGGTTTCATCTAGCTGAACGACTGTCGATCATGAGTGTATTCTTCCCTTTCCGACACCTCGTTGATTAAATACCTCCAAATGGACTTGGCCGCACAAATCCGCTCTGGTCTTCAAAGCCAGGGACTACCCTCTCCCTCTATCTCCTGGATTCAATCTGCCATGCCCAATCGCAGTCCATTACCTCCCTTACCAGCTCTCATCGCCACTGTGAAAACTCGTTTCCTGGCAGCTGATTTGACTAACCCTGCTCTCTTTGACTCGCCATCGCTCGCATTCCCATCTAACGCGAGCAATCCCGAAGTTAAAGAGGTCAAGCTTACGTGGGACATACCGGTGCAGGTGCTCGACATTGAGAATCTGTCCAAGAGTAAGTGGGAGCAAGTTGAGGAGCTTGAGGCCATTGCGAGAGGGGAACAAACCAGAGGCCGAGAGATCATACGTCTTCCCACTGGAAACGAGGAAGACGAGTTTTCTCTCGATGGCCAGGCTACCCAAACCACCAATAATGGTGTTGAACGATCGGGATTACGAGGCGCCTCAGCAGCGTCGGTCAACACTGCTAATGCTGCCACCAAGAGCTCCACGCATCGATTAATACTACAAGATTGTAAGGGACAGAAATTATATGGACTAGAGCTAAAGCGCATTGACAAGATTGGTATCGGCAGTCTCAATATAGGTGAAAAGATCATGCTGAGGAGGGGTGCCATACTCGCCCGAGGCACTGTCCTTTTCGATACGACCACTTGCACAATACTAGGTGGCAAGGTCGAGGCTTGGCAGAAAGACTGGATAGAGGGCCGTCTAACCAGGCTCCGAGAAGCAGTCGGGGCTGATTCCCGGAATACAATATAGTCGCTCCCATTCTTGTTGGGATTAGGCGTCTTGTGAACACATGAGACCGTAATTTGCCAGTCGTGTGGCCAATTATCTAACCTATCCATACAGGCGGACTCAGTCTAGACTCTAGATAACCCCTCGTGGACCGCGCACTGTGTATGTGTTTTCTCTCACTGCTCGAACACCAATAATGCAATATGACAGGATATCGAAACTCGAATGTCCCATACTATACGAAGTAAGGTAGCTTAGAATAAGCTGACGCGAGCGGCTTAGGTAGCACACTGAAACCCATCAGTCCCCGAGTCGCATCTTTCGCCAAACAGCTCTCAACACGGAAAGCCATTGAGCAGAGCATCTTATACACTTTATCCTAACCCAACATTGGTGACACCATATCATCTGCCACGCCGGCGAATGCAACTAAATGCCATCGACTACCCTTCTAGAATCGGCTCCTTCTTGTGGGCATAGTTTCACTCTCACCTGCCCTTGTCCTAGCCGGGGATCAATAGAAGAAGTATATATGCAAAGCTCTTACTGGGCTGCGTCTAGAACAACCGGCGAGCTGCCCACCTACGGCAGCACTCTCGAACGTTTATTGCTCAGCTGCTGTTGGCCGCTCTGCTTCAGCGGATCTAGTATAGTGTCCGGTTCAAGATTGAAGCGAAAACGCCACATATTAAAATTAGCTGGCGCATGTACTTGAACTTGAAGGATCGTTATCGTTATCGATCCGACTCCCCAGTGCCAGCAACGTTTGACCGCTCACCTAGGTCAGCATCACGTACGTCTACGTGATGTCCGCCGTGTATCATACCTGCAGCATTCCCGTCTTGCATTACATCCTGCCATCACATGTCAAGACCAACTCTTTGGTATCAACAAGGTCTCCGTTCTTTCATCACGCATGTACAGTGATTGTCAAGGGCACATACTCTATGGAACAACCAACCTCGCTATAGACGAATGGACAAGCATGAGCACCTGTGGCTCCTCTTCAACCAACCACAATGACTTTTGAGGTATCATCGGCCCAATTCGCTAAGTTCTGAAACAATTGGGATGCCACCGATGTCGTAAGAATTGGAAGACGACTATTTGACTCAATACAGCCTACATATCTTATCGGGCTTGCACTTTGAAGATCTGGCCGTTTCCCTTGATACGATGTGTCAACTGCCCCGATCTTTGCCGGGCCAGATTAGGTGTTCTGCATGTCTTACCCAGCCTTACACGTTTCAGAAAAGGTCTAAACGAGCGTCTACATTCGAATCACCGCTACTAGGTAGCGGTACTAAAATGTCACAATATTTACACATGTTGATGCAGGGTTGACTGGTGTCAGAGGTAGATAACACGAGATGCCAAGCAGACGGATTATGCTTCTTTTGAACAGGGAGTCGCATCTTGGCTATGCAACACAATGGGGCAAGATACATCTCGAGAAGATTGACATTCCTACGTACTGAGTAGCTCTTAGGGCACGTTCTGTCGCTGCCTTAATGGGTCGCCTTGATCCGTTCGGACCCCAAATTGTTCTACCCCTCCACCCCTCTCCCTCTAGTTCGCCTAGCGAGTTTCTTGCGGTGTATAAGCATCTCGAAAGGCAACCAGCCAGAATACTCGACACCATATTGCCGCAATGAGCCTAGCTTTAACGTGTCATCACGAGCGTACCGGCATCTTGGGTAAGGTTCGTTCATCCAACCATTTAGCCCAGATACCCACGTCGTCCACTCGGCAACTTCCAGGTACCCCTGAGAGTTGACGCACGCCAGGGTAGCCCATAGTCCCAGTCATACCTAGGTAAGGAATTTAGGGCTGTACCTAGATATTCTGTACTTGTTCACTTGAGGTATCTTGACATCTTGCTACGGCCAGCCAGCCCACCCATCCCTCATGCCTAGTCACTATACTAGACAAGGAGTCCCAGCAGTCAATCGTCTATAGTAACTTCATAGAGGACCAGCTAAGCCGAGGTATGGATGTCTCAGTTTAAGAACACAATAGCAAGTCAACCACGCCCACCGTCCTTATTTAAACACCTACATCCCCGAGGTCATCTCCTGGGTCTCTCGGCATTTTGCCAGCTTTTCCATGATTCTTTCCTAAGCAATTGTGGATTCATTGCCTGGTTTACCCAGTGTTGAATGAGGAACTCACCGGTGTTGCTTATTTCGTGCAGCGAGTTCTGAGTTCTTTCTTGTCACTCGTTCAATTGTCGATTCTACACCTAATATTGCGCCGCCGGCCTACATTCAAGATTATATTAGCACTTTTTAATACGCAATACCTTACTTCGTCTCTTCGCAACCACAATGGCTAGCCTGAATTCGTCTAAGGATCTAAATAACGCCGGTTGCGCATCAGGACCGTATGTTACTTGACGCTGCATTTTTTCATTCCTAGTATAATAATTTGATGGTACCTACAGGTACAAGCCGAGTGGTACCAGGGCGGAGAGGGCTCTGTGGCAGAATTGGCGGATCTCTGGCGCCACACAGCTACGGAATGAACATGTTACCGACCGCTTAATCCACTTAACATCAGGCGAAGATCATGCAAAAGACATCCAAAACCAGGTTGCCATGATTGGCACCATCCTCTCCCCTTCCGACGCCAAGACGAATAGCAGTACATAAAATATCAACGACTTTTCAACATGTACGATAGCCAGCATTTGCAACGCTTACTAGTCAACAAGCGACGACGATACACCCGCTAGGCATAGCCAGCGACATGATGATTGCGGCACGAGAACCCGATAAGATGTGATACGATGGAAGGTTGCCAGAGGTGGTATTGAGTTTAGTGAGGTTGGAGTTTTAATGTCCCAAGGCAGGGCCGGAGTTAACATGTACCGATATGGGTGACTTATTTCTTCAATTCAGTATACGCCAATATATTTACACGATACACGATATCCAAAGTTGCTGCTCCTTTCAAAATTATGGTTCGGATATCGTCAGGGGACCGTTATTTGATGCGTAATTCAATGCAGAGTGATAACAGGCTTACAATCTGTCTTGTGCTGCTCTATGGCCACGAGAAATAGAGGTTCGGGAACACCTGTTGTATCATAGGCGCCGCGGCCCATGTTCAGCATTTGTTAGGTCTAGGTGAACTACCTACAATGATTATCTCCGCACAACAGCCCTACAGTGGTACTACATCGCACAGCGCTATTCCAGACGGATTGTCACATCCGGCCGTCGCACGCTGTCATCTCAGCACTAATTAACCTGCCGCGTCCCATGCTACCGGGATACATTTCTCACCACATCTAGGTATCGCGGACTTAGCAGAATCTCGTAAGATTACCTGGTACTGTGGGCTACGCACAACATTAACGACCAAAAAGAGGAGGCGATCTTAGTTGTAAGACAAGGGTTGTTCACGATCCGTGATCCACTGACTTAGTGATGGACCGCATCCACCAAGTCTACTAGCCCCGTGGTCCGTCCCATGTCTTAGGTAGTCTCGAACCCACGCCGCCAAGTATTGCTAAAGAAAGATTATATCAACGACCACGCCTACGTAGGTCGGTGAACAAGCGCCTTACTTATTGCGATGCAACAGCGGACAATGAAATGATCCAGTCCTCGCGAGGAAGACGCAGTAGTAGGGGCCCGTTAGTCTCCAAGATTCGCTCTCGCTAAGCAATGCCTAGCGAAACAGAACCAGTGAGTGGGTGGGCGAATGCAAGGATTGACCTGCTTGGGCAGGGTCCTTGTACCGAAAGCCCAGGACACCCTCCCAGTTTGGACTGCCTGGACTACCGGAGTGATGCAACACAAGGCAATGCGTGTAGCTACACGGTCGCGTCAAACGAGGAGAATCGTTCAAACATCATGATGAATCACCTGCCTATCTAAGCCATAATCTGTGTCATGTGCTATCTATCTCTCACCGCCCGCGACGCATAGCATTACCTATCTACCTCTCGACTCGCTGTCGCATCAACTCAAACATCAGTTGTATCGCTTCCTGCCGTCAGTAAATGAACCTCTCCCACCCTCCAAGGCTGCCTACATGTGGAAAAAGCTTCACTAGTCTGGCATTATCGAAAGTCGGTGAGGGTTGAGGAACAAATGCACGCCATGAACCTTCTCCACCGTTTGGTTCATACATGAATGCGCGGGGGGGGGGAATAAACAATGGCTGCGCGCTGAAACCCCCCTCCCATTATCTCACCGCATGTAGACTCTTCAATCGAAGTTGCGATCAAGAAATCCGCAGGTACTGATGGCACAGCACACCACGATAAGTCTCGCATAAGCACTACGATTTCGTGGCGGAGACGAAAAGCAAAGATGGGTTTTGTGTGTTGTATCATTGAGGAGCCAAACACTCAGCCTATCGTAGCCACGCTGCTGTTGCTACTGCTTCATCATGTACAAGAATTTGCACTCAGTTTACCGACCTACCTATGCCAGGCACGGTAAAATCAACCTACCATTACCCCAGAATCGTGGCAAGATTCAGCGAGACCTTACGCCACCACATTTTGTAATAAGTCAAGGTTCTGTTGCCTGCTGCTCGGCATATTAGGTAGGGTTATACCGACCGTAGATAAAACGCAAGTACTAGCCAACCCTGCATCGGCACGACATAGCATAAACAAGCTAATGTTCGTTACATGTAGACATGTACAAGATCACCCGCTGGAAACGCGTACTTGCTCCACATCGCGAGACAGACGATAGGAAGATCTACATTAACGATGGTGTAAGGGTCACGAAACCCAGTCTCTGCCCGTCCCTTCTTCTTCAGGAAAACAATGGGGCAGAGCCTGCTGCCAGCCTGCATGTTCAGGGGTATTTGACACAACACGTGGTGACCATGTCGAGAAAGTGAGAGCGGTCAAGCATCATCATGGGTACTCACCCCTACAATCCCCGCGAAATAAGTACCTATTGTATTATTCAGGCAAGTCAATGGATTTGTCGTATTAACAATGGTCTTGGAGCACTGCCCATCCCTCGTTTTGAGTCCTGTGACAGGATATCTGTATTCGATGTGATTGGCAGCCGATATTCTGTTTCTTCGGCCTCTCTCATTCGTGGGAAATGGTTCGATTCCACCTATATAAGGCAAACTATAATGCAGCTGTGCCGCGGCTTCACCGCGACGAGCTTACGAGTCCGTACTCATACACTAAACCCGCAATCATGCTTTACGTTATTTTCGGATTTCTGTTATTGCCGGAATCGTCAGCTGTATGGAGCCTTAATTTCACTGTATGACAATTTATATAGTTACTAATGGTCTCCTTTTATTGAGGCTCAACAGTCTCTTGGCGTCCCAGCTAGGGGCATCTCTCTAATCAATCCTTGACAGTCGTTTTCCCAATCTCCAAACCGGCGAGCATGTTGATACTCCTCAGAGATGGGGGATAGCGTAGAAAGGCCACATGCGCAAGTTCACAACGCCCGAAATAGGTGTTCTGAAACACTTTACACTAGCTTGCACTCAACACAATTCCATTAATTACTTACCGCCTTTTGAAGTATTGTTTGTGTCCTTTATCACATGTTGTAACGGTGAATCGCGCTCCCAGGTCGTCGGAGGTAATGTTCCTCACCGAGAATGCAGTCCAATTTATCCAACGAATCAAACATCATTTATTCCAATGATTGCTGTTGCTGTTCAATGTGAGCTTTACAGCCTAGCGCCTCTCAAACACAAATCGTAGCTTTTTCCCTTCGTTTTCACCCAGTCAGCCGTGGTGCATCGCTCAATAGGCTGAAGACCGCAGGGTTTGCAGACCTAAATCCAACTCACCGACTCCAGATATGGATCCCTAGTTCTCGGTTCATTTTACTCTACATATCCTGCAACCATGATGAATTAGCGCATACCGTAGGTGACGTACTAACGAAAGTCCTACCAAGTCCTACAGTAACGACCATTAATTGCATCACATATCATACTAGTTCTCCAACCCCCGGTTAGTGGGCGTCTAGGATACACTGGCCGGAGAGAGATGGAAAACACGTGGCGACCCTGTCGCTAATCCCTCCGGCCCGCCCAATGTTCCCTTCCCCAGCTATTGTAGGACCCGAGCGCCCAGCCATTAGGACGATCAAAACCCACCCCATACAATTTCTGGTTCAGTGCTGCAGGGAATAAATAGCGCCAAAGGAGCGACCGATTCCCGCTGTAGATTCACATTAGCGAAGAGGCTTTAATCCTTGCTGGTTTTGAATGCCCAATACAACTACCTACTTAGATTATGTGTGAAAAGGGCAGTAGATGGTGTGTAGAGTGTTAACGAGGGGCGCGGACATCAAATCCGAGCTTCATTTCATCACGACTCAAGCAATGATATTAATGAACTTGCCATTTGATTGATTGAAAGAGCAGGTTAAACAAAACCATTATTGTGCGAAACATTGAACAAGTGGGTTAAATACGCGACTAGGAGGATAAACGTAAACTGAACAAGAATAATCAACTCCGAGGCATGCAGTGTTTGGACGGACGGCCTGCAGACTGACTTCCCACATGACTGAGCCGAGATTATGGGCACACATGCCTGCGCAACGATCATGTAAGTACTACCTACGGCTCCTTCTATGGAGATAGCGAGCTTCTGGTTAGAGCACGCAATCGGCCAGAAGAGATCAAGGGACGCTGACTGGCATCTCTCACACACCTTGTACAGATTTGTACGAGTACTTGTAGCGTCGTTGAGGTACATAGGAGCATATCAACATCCTTAATTCTCCACTAACTGCAAAGGAATAGTATAAACTAACGGTTGTACGTGGCAGTTTCTACCGGAGTCGACGCTAACTTGGTACCCAACATTAGCCAATGCAACATAAGTAGCTAGGCGCTGTATGCCTGTCTTGCATGTGTTCAAAATCCACTCACCAGGGCGGAACACGATACGGTTCCCTGTAACGCGTGGTTGGAGAGAGCAGACGAGGCAAACACTAGTTTATACGATCGCTCTGGTAGTTAGTGTATATAGCGTAGCTCTGCAGACAAGTCCCGTGCATGGGAGAGGGAATGAGCAGGGTGAGTCTCCATGGTCTTCCTACCGATTGGTCAAATATCCCGCACGAGTATCCCTCCCACACACGTGCTCGCAAGGAAATGCATGAACAAACAATCTCCTGCGCATCTTGATGTGACGCTGTCTGCCAACCTCCTTACCGCTTGCCTGGTACTGCATGGGTGGCCAGTATGGCGGTGAGGAATTCTAGAAACTCTTGATCTGCAGAAGCGAGATTAGTGCTGTCACCCATCTTCACTTGTGTCGTTGAAAGAGTCGGAAGACGCAAGATTCTCGCGAATTTGCAATCACGATACACGACGCGCTTCGCTTGGACAAGCCGTCTCATCCGCTTTCTCTAGTCGCCTTACCAGCAGATCCTACCGTAAACACCTACGTACCTATTTCCTCTTGCCAAGCATCAATCCCCCTGTATATTTCCGACAATCTCTGCCTTAACCTTGTTATGTCTGCGTACTTCTGCATGTCAGATTTTGACGCATGGAGCAGGGGTGGTTCATCCACCCATCCATCTACCTGTGATGAAATAAATTGAAATAAACGAATAATGAATAATGGACAGCGGCTTCTCTAATCAACTAGACGCTGCGCTCTGTGGAATATAATATACATACTTCCGTAGTTCCTCGCAGAGATGTAACGCTCCACAATTCTTTACGACTTGCGCAGACAGGCTCACAAGCTTTGAAATGACCGCCAGTTGTTGTTTGTTAGCAAGTTTGATTGTAAATTTATAAAGCCATCACCATCACTCCTAGAATAGAGTGATTATTCAGAGTTACAGAATACGCCATACTACATAAAAGGGCAACGAAGAAATAATAGATTTAGCATTTTGCGAATAAGGAGAGGTTCTGTACATGATTACGCCATCGATGAGATTGTGTCACTGATCCCAACCTAGGCTTGAACCAATCACCTAGTTCTTACGGATACAGATGCGTAATGACTAAAAGAAGATCATTTGGCTGCAGCGACTTTGGAATTGCTTTATAATTGAGCTAAGCGAGTGACATAAGATTTGTTGAAGAATTATATGCTACCGGGCGGGGGTTAGGCAGACAAGACAAACTCTGGAAATGAAAAATGAAAGGAAAACAGAAAAGACATGGGGTAATAAATAGAGATATGAAATGAGTACTTCTTGTCGACGAATGATCGCTGATTATAATTGACACGGTGGACTTGGTTAAATCTTAGCAGGAGAACTGTAGGAAGACTTACTACTATGAAAAGACTTAGTCGTCCAACCGACCGGGCTTGAGCCTCAGTACTAGCCAACTTTGTTTCTAGAGGCTTCGATTTTAGGCTCCACAGACCCGGGTTCGACACCAGCATATCCCGAAGGAGTAGTCCCGTGAAAAGGCCGGAAGAACGTATAGTCCATAGTATCCCGGGGTGTTGATCTTCTGTTTACGTTGATATTTGCTGCTTCACTGATGTTTATCTTGCTACCCTGAGTAGCGATGGTAGTAGTTTTAGTGAAACAGTGCAAACCGATATGATTGCCCAAGTCTGTTCAGGCGTGGTTACGAAATGTAGTCGTCTGCTTGTGACGTGAGACAACAAAGCCTTTGTACAATCATTATGTCCCATTGTACTGTGCAATTGATATGCAACTGAAAGCTCTTTGTGCTCTGGCTTACATAAGCCTTTACGCAATAGATTTTAGATTATTGACAGCTACAGCACTGAGGAGGTTAGTGATTTGATAGATTATCACTCGGGTGGCCATAGGTTCATTGCATCGCCTGTCGGATGAGGATAGAATATGCTAATTTATAACCATCTTTCTATGTATTCTCTAGAGGAATCGGTTTTCTTCAAACTGTATGACGACATTTAATATTTACATGTGTTAATATAGGGCATTTGCGGTTTAAATGGATGGGAGTCTAACGGTACTTATATTCTCCACTTGAGTGTGGCAAATCACTAGCCTATTCTAATGTAAGGGATAAAACCTCATACAATACAGCGCTTTTTGTAGCTGTAGTGATTGTACAAAGCAAACAGCACGCGGCCCCCCTGCCGAAGTTCTTCCCGATATTAAGGGATGAGAACTATGACTATAAAACGTAGCATCTCGGTAAAAAGTCCACCATCCTTAATTATCTCAGAAAAAAGAAGTACACCTAAACACAACCTCCTTTGTAGTCGATGAAGCTCAGCTCGCCACCTGTTAACGTAGCTGATATACGAAAGTACACATTGTACGAAGCCGCGCAATTACGCTACCAACATCGATCTAGCCTGCGCGGGGTTGGTTATCTTGTGCAACATAAACCCTTCTTACTGACTATCTGGCTCTGAGCTCCATAGTCGTAAGATTTTACAGGCCCCTCATCAGTTTCTCTGTTTCAAATCCATCTTAATGCCTCGAAAAGGCAAATCTAGAGAACTGGCGGCCAATACGTTGGAAAATAAAAGATACGTTTCACCGGTAATGAACCATCTCTAACTCGAGGGAAATTAGCGGCTGAAGATATGTTATAGTTTGAATATCTGCCTCCAACCTTAGGCCCTCCTCCTGCCGCTTTGGTGTCTGCTCTACTAGTCAAGCCTGTGAAGTCGGTTAGGTTCGCACCGATCTCTTCTCCTGTACCATGTCCTCTCCTCTTTAGACCGCTGAGCCTTAACCCCCCGGATGGCCATGACCCATTGCCCCTATCGTCATCTCTCGCATCCGACTCACAACAAGCTCCGGCACGTCAAACCCAGAGAATACAGAAGAAGAAGACGCTGCATGCTGAAACCCCTATTGTTCCTGATTTATCTGAACAGACCCAGTCCCTTCCAAATGCTAGAACGGGCCAAAGCTTAAATAGCTGTAGCGGGGGTATTTCACAGCCGAATCCAAATAAAGACAGCAAAAGATCAAAACTTTACGTCGTATGTTATTTCTACTATGCTATACGTATTTTAAACCCACTAATATATGAAATTAGAAAGAGAAACTGGAGACTTGGCTCGAAGACGTAAGGACAATAGCGGTAGACCCATGTGAAACTAATTCGTATCGGAGCGTAACCGACGTGAGCAACATTCCAACTCAAACTGAATACTCCCCAACAACTCGAAGAACATCGCCGATCTTAGCATGGAACCCAAGGACCAAAAAGGTGACCCCAGAGGCTCTACGAACTCGCCAAGTGGAGGTCATTGAAGCCAATGAAGATGAATGGACTGCCGAGTTCAGGGAGCACTTGGTAGAGAAACGGATGAAGATTTCGTTTAAGAAAACTGAACCGTTACTCCAAAGCATGAAAAACTTTGAGCGTAAAACCAAACTAGCGAACGATGATGACGACAGTTGGGATGCAATCGAGGAACTATGCAAGGAGATAAACGAGTGGAGGGCAGCTATGCGGTTAGGGGCCATAACCAGCGAGAATTTTAAGAACGACCTCGATTATTGCAAGTCATCATCGAACAAGGTCGCCTTCCAAAGAATGGTTATGATGTCGATCATTGATCGTTGTCATCTGAAGCCTGTGTTCAACTATAACTTTGAAGGGCAATGGAACCAGGAGATTTGTCCGCTGCCCTCGACGAATGGCTTATTAGATATTATCGCCGACCCTCAGCCAGACCTTGCCATATTCTTCGAATTTGCCTCTCTAGTTGGCACAGACTCCTTTTCCAAGTCTGCTCCTATCCCTCCGGAGCTTCAGCCTTGTATGAACCCAGATGGAAATACACAACGATGTTTTCCGTTTATATTCATAGAGGCAAAGAAGGCGACTGCAGACATCGAGTCTGCGATCTTGAAGAATTTGCACAGTGCTAGCCAAGCTCTGTTCAACATCTACGCATGGATGAGCAGAGCTAAACAAGATGACGTCTTCTTCAAGGATGTTCGCGTATTCTCAGTCGCTATCAATGAAGAAGAAGCCATTGTCCGAGTTCACTGGGCTGTTCCTGTCAGTAATGGAGATGATAGTGGGCTGGAATTCTTACACAATAACCTTCATTACCGTCAAGAAAAAAAACCATATACGAGAGATGGATTATGCACGCTCATCCACAACATACTTATCAATTATGCGGAAAAGACGCTTCTTAAGATCCTGAAGAGTACAGTTGATAAAATCCTGAAGGAACATAAGAAAACACTCAAACGAAAGAACAACAATGCTCTCCTTGGTCCATCTCCAAAGAGATTGGCCTTCTCCCAATGAGGCCTTCATCTATAGGTCCAGTACTAATGAACACGTCAACATCCATCGACATGAGTCAAGTGGATATTCAAAATCGGTTAGCGCTAGCTCGCAACGAGGATGGCGGAGAGGTTGTGAGTTGAGCAGGTACTGATAAAAGGTGTACGATAACGAGAACGCAAAGCCAAGATGAGTGGCTACGGCAATGAACTGTTATAGATTTTTGGATTTCTTGATTGATGTGCTTAACGTGGTGAGCATTGACTACGTGATAAATTTCCCAAAGGCATTGGGGACGTGTCTAGCTGTCCGTTATATGTTCATTCTAAGTGCACTTCGTGACCAGAGTAGCTAAATTCTCACATATTGAGCGCATCAGGCCATATTGACTTCACGTCCACTCAGGCTAGGACTGTCGAGTCTTGTGGGTACATGTACGACCCAGCGGTCTCGCCAACAGCTGTGGCTGCGGCTCTGCTTCAAAGGTAACTCTGAGACATTAGAGACTACGACTTGTCAGTGTTATAGCATTGGGTACTGCAGAAGCAGAGCTAACTGATGAAACTCAAGCGTTCATACAGCCATCTACTCATACTAGATCATATGAATAGGGCAGTCGGGGTTCTAAAATGCAATGATCTACTCTGGGAGCAAGGCCAAAGAAGCACGCATACTTAACGCAATATTGAGTAGCCTCAATCCAAATGGCTCATGATTCAGCTATATGGCAACGGCTCTGGCACATGGAAATTATGTGTAGCAACTCCGGTAGATTGCATACCTGAGTCCCCGCCATGCTAGTTGTCGCTCTTTCGTTTCTAGTGAGGGTTATATCAACGATACCTCAACTTGGGCGTACGCCCATCAACTAAGTATCGATAGCCTCATAGTTGAATTTATTCACCGGGCCTTATCGGACGAATTGAGGACAACGAGTTGACGTTGCGTTTAATGCTGACAGAGCCGGTAGGCGATTGCGACTAGTGCGTAGAAATTCCAGGCCTGACAAAAATTCAATGAACATGAGTACCTATTAGTCGTAGGGGTGCTATTGCTTTCTGCGATCATTACGCTCAATAGGAATGTGTGCAACCCAGAATTGTTACACCAAGAATGAGGGATCGATACATCGCCGGTGTTAAATGCTGCGAGTAACGCGCTTCAAGTTACCGAGCTTCTCCGCACAGCGAATGAGACGCGACCCCAATCTACGAAGAGCGCCCGCCGTTAGTGTAGGCGTCGGCAGGCCAATCCGAGACGTAAGAGAAGCATGCCACATCCCGAAGAGCATCGTGTGTTTTTCGTCATCGTTTCATACGAGGAATATGCACTGTGACCTTCTAGATTCACTATTACTATCGTTTTCAAACACACATAAATCCTAGTGTATTGCCTTACGTATACCCGAAAGGCTTGACGAAGATAATTCGGACTCTCCACTTCGATTTTTAGTCGGCTCTAGCAATGGCACAAGATACGATGCGCGCAGTGGTTCTGAAGGGCGTCAGGGATGTCGCTGTTGAGGAGAGGCCGATCCCGACTATCCAGGACCCCAGGGACATCATCATCAAGGTGCGCTATACTGCGCTGTGCGGAAGGTAAACGTTTCCGATCGATTGTTGATTGCAAGTTGTGTTCTCGAGCCCAGCTTCAATGGCAAGCAGACGGTCATACACCTAACTGACGGTCTTTCCCCACAGTGAACTGCATGTATTCAGGGGCCATCAAGCATCTGCGACCGGCTTCATCATGGGCCACGAGTTCACCGGAACCGTCCACCAGATCGGGTCAGAAGTCACGTCTGTGCAGCCCGGCGACTCCGTCGTCTGCCCGTTTACAGTGAGCTGCGGCGAGTGCTTCTACTGCAAGCGCGGCTTCTCTTCGCGCTGCGAGAAATGCCTGCTCTTCGGGTGTCCCTTGCTCGACGGCGGTCAGGCAGAGTATGTGCGGGTACCGCTCGCCGACTCCACCGTAGTCAAGGCCCCTGCCGGCATCGAAGAGCTTAAGCTTTGCCTCATGGCCGACATTCTGCCCACGGGGTACTTCGCGGCGTCGAATGCGCTGGGGCAGCTCAGAGCTGAGGATGTGGCGGATAGTGTGGTGGTATTGATCGGCTGCGGCCCTGTTGGACTCTGCGCTCTCGTCGCCGCGTTGGAATACGCGCCTAAGGCTATCTTGGCCGTCGATGGGGTCCCCTCCCGCTTGGACAGGGCTAAGAGTATCGGGGCTGAGCCGTGGAATTACCTGGAAAACGGAGATGGGCTTGCTGCGCGCGTGAAGGAGCTGACGGGTGGGCGCGGAGCCGATGTCGTGATCGAAGTCGTCGGACACAGCTCAGCGCTGGAGTCGGCTTTTCAACTTCTGCGCCCTTGGGGCACGATTTCGAGCGTGGGTGTACATAATGGCGTCATCCCTGTAAGTTGTTCGCTACAAGTTCTCGCTTATTGTTACGGCTTTTGGAGCAAAACGATCGTCGGGCCACCCTGTAATGTTCACATGTTGCGTCTGGCATAGCAGTGACTTACGCCGTGTTATGTAGTGGAGTGGCAATCAAGCATATGGGAAGAATCTTAAGATTCAGATGGGACGATGCCCAGTCCGAAGTAAGTACTCATTTTCTTTGCTGAGAAGAAATACACTCACAAGGTGCTTCATGAAGCTGACAAACGATTATATAGGCATCTTCCCACAAGCTCTTCGACTACTTGAAAAGAAGCAGCATGTATTCGAGTAAGTTAGAATCCATAACCACCTCCTGATTGGTACATACTAACGTATATAGTTTCATGACCGAAACAGTCATGCCGCTCAGTCAAGCGGTCGAGGGCTACGAGATTTTTGACTCTATGAAGGTACAGAAGGTGATTTTTGATGCTGAGAAGTAGTTGGAACTTTGGGTGGCAAGTTGGAAGGTGCGCACTATACTCTCATAGGTGTTAATCACATTTCGGTACAAACAAGGGAAAATTAAAAAAAAAAAAAAAAAAAAAAAAAAAAAAGAGGTAATGATTAGTCACAGACTTGATCAGGTAAGGGAGATCCTGGCTCAGTAAGGTTATTGCCAGGTTTCAAGCTATGCAGTTATCAAAAGAAGATACTAGGACTGTATCCCCGAAGCATACCTCACTTATACATTGAGGCCTAGATATCTCTAATGACCCAGGTCGTTATTTTGCTGGAAGAGGTTTCATAGCCATTAAACCGAAGTCTATTACAAAAGTTTCAGACAGTCGACCAGGTCCCCAGCTAGCTAGCCATTCATTCACCAGGGTCAAGCGCTTACGCAGGCGATGTCAAATTGTCTTATACATATTACATCAACCATAGCCAAAAAGGACTAAATACATAACCATTATCTTTCCCCGGCCCTCTAATAGACCATATCGAACCGAGACTCCAGATCTGCTGGGACCGTGATTTCCAAAAGGAAAAAGAGCGCGAATATCAGAGAGCGTGGCAAAAGTTCCGTCTCCTCTCAATATCCCATCTCCCTGTCTCCCTAAGCCCGCACAACAGGCCGCAGCTTAACCCACAACGGGCCCTTCTCCCAGACTAGATACACCTTCTGATCCATCCAATCGCCCTCGGTAGCATTCTCGACATCGAAGTGCCAAACGAGGCTCGCCACGACGAGTTTCATCTCGGCATACGCGAGGTTCAGCCCGATGCAATTCCGGGGGCCGTACGAGAAGGGCTTGGACACCTCGCGCCTATCGTGCGCGAAGCGCGGGTCCTCGCCCGTCCAGCGCTCCGGGACGAAGGCCTCGGGCGCCGTCCAGTTGAGCGGGCTGTTGGCGATGGCGTAGATGGGGATGCTGACGGAGGTGCCCGCGGGCAGCATCTCGCCGTTGACGAGGGCCCCGCCGGCCGGGATGATGCGGTGGTGGGGCTGCGGCGACGGGGGGTACATGCGCAGACACTCCTCGATGCAGCCGAGGAGGTACTTGCACTCGTTGACGGCGGCCACGGTGATCTCCTCCGGACGCCTGAATCGCGAGCGGATCTCCGTCTTCAGCTTCTCTAGCACGCGCGGGTTCTCGAACAGGAACCAAGTAAGGCCTTAAAAATCGGAGTCAGTGTCTTTCTCTCTCTCTCTTCCTTTCTTACTACATCAGGGGGGTAAGTGAATGTGCGAAAAAAAAAAAAAAAGCACGGCTTACCCGCTAGACATGTCGCCGTGGTCTCGCTCCCGGCCCCGATGAGAATCTGCGTGTTCTCCTTGAGCGATTCCGCCGACAATTTGCCCGACTTGTACGCATCCACCAGGTTATCCATGAAGTCGGGGACCGAGGGGTCGTTCTCGAGACGGTGCTTGGTTTTCTCCTTTTCTCGTTGCATTAGTCATAGCACTAAGCCTTCTTTCCCGAGAGATTGATATCACTAAATCAATGGCATACCTCGTTGAGTGAATAAATCGTCGCAAGGTCTTCTTTGACCTTGTCAGGGATGAAATATCGTTGGAAAGGGCGTCGGAGGAAAGATGGTAGCCGAGCGCTCATTTGATAGTACGCGAAATTCCTACCCGCGCTGAAAAAGATGTGAACCCACATGTGGAATGTTCCTGTGGTGAGGCAGTTGAATGATTCCCCGAAGGCTATTTAGATAATTAATCAGTATCTGCTGTCCCGCAGGATCCAAGTAAACACCCTTTTAAGACATACTTAGATAGCCGATAACGTCAAAAGACAGGAACTGCTGAGTGTTAGTCTGACTAGCTCTTCGTGATGGTATGCACAATGGCCTACGTTGTACCAGTCCCTAATGTCGACCGGCTTCTCGCCATTGCCGCATTCCTCGTGGAGTCTGCGGATCAAGGTGTCTACAAATCCCTTCAACACAGGCTCTTGTCCCCTCAAGGATTTCTCGGAGAAGCCATGAGCTAACAGTCTGCGTAGATAGCTATGGTGGCGTGCATCGGAGTTGAGAATCGAGATGTTGGGCTTGAGCGCAGCATGGTATATTGGGTCTTTAACGAATTCCGATTGCCCATGTGACTTGAAGCCATATATCTCCCTCCACTGGATTGGGTTGATGTAGGATAATTCATTGGGTGAAGTCCTCACAACAGGTCCATATCTCTCGTGTAAGTTTAGCAGATCAGTCGGCATTGTGCCATGGAAGTACGACCGTATCATCCATAATGGGCCGGCTCTTGCTAAGAGAGGACCAGGATATTTTGCAAGGGGGTGTAGCCAGATATTGTACGCCGAGATCGCCGCGTAGTACGTGATTACCTGGAGATCAGTTAGTGATGCTTTAAGGAGTAGGCGACATAAGACAGACTTACGACAATAGGGAGAGCGATGATAGAGAAAACAATAATTGAGGGTGCTAGGCCAAGCAGGCTGGACAACGGCACTGCGATAGCCATAATCAGTCACAACGACGAATACAGTTGAAACACATGATGGTAGAGGAGGAGGGAAATAGCCGATTAGAAGCTACCCTCTTACCAGTACTTATATGTTGTATAAGACCGAGGTATAATAGTTGATGCCGTGGAAAGGGGGCTATATCGGAGGATCGGAGGATGCTCGTATTCATTATTCCCGCGTGGTCTCCCACCTTTGGGTCCTATAAGAGGAGCATGGGTTAGTCCAACGATTGTATTGTTGGTCGCATAACGTTGGTTCCAACGTACCCAGATGCATAACTGCACGTTCTGTTAGGCGAACCCCCCACATGATGCGTCGCATGTCTCAGTTATTACCTGTCACATTTGCGTAATTACGACTGTTTCGTCGGTGTAGATAGGTAGGTAGCTGATGCTATACATCTGTCGGCCCGGACAATACCTCGGAACGGCAAGAGGAGAAGCCGAATGTTTTCATAAAGTTGCTAGCAGCAGTTCATTGTTGCGACATTCAAATCCTTGGTACCCAATTATGACAGCTCGGTTTATCTGCTACACGCAAGATCACGGTTATCGAGGTGCAGTAACAGTGTAGTATTGTAGGGTGCCATACCGGTAGAAGACGCGGGGAAGCGGTGGGTTGGTGTGTAGATGTGACCTCATTCGTTAACTTCTACACCAAGCTGAGTCTGCGTTGTCAAGGCGTAGACTGGTCGAGTATAACATGGCGTGATTCCTCCACTGTCGGACGCCGCATTTCCAGATCTTATGATTCAAGGATGGTGGTTCTAGATGTACTAGTTTTATATAGCTGTTATAGTTATGTCTGTGCCCTCATGCCTAGCAATGTATAACAAGGGCAGAGATCTGGGCTTGGAGCTTGATGTTACTCACAATATAATGATCAACTAAGGCTGCATGAGTCCGTGACCAACCAATTCCATCTTGGCCTTGGTGGCTTGACTCGACTCTATACACAATTGGTCTACCAGCCCAGACCGCCTAGGTCTCTGGGGTCTGTTTTAAAGAAGCAAAGTCTATATAACCTCACTTTCCAATCCTGCCCAATATTGCCTGCGTGTCTTTGAATGATCATGAACAGCCTGCAATGGCCTTTCGTACAAACGAAGTGCAAGGCGAACTGCATATGCAGCTTGTATGCGTTTGTACGCGTGTAAGACAATGTCATCCGAAAAATGCACATATACCATACAAAGGTAAACTGTGTCAATGAGATTCGGAACTACGACAGACGGGATAGACGCATTCTCACAAGAAAGTAGGTTTGATAAGGTGTATTGAATTGCTTCATCTCGTAAAAGTAGGCTATTCATGCTCACAGGGTGTCCTCGTTCTAGCGTGGCAGTAATACTTTGTGTCGTCGAGAAGGCACTACGTAAAGAGCTCTATTGTCATTCTACCGCTAAGTCTTTCTATCAATGCGAATTACGTGGGCACATGGCCCTCTAGCCCAGCCACAGCCGCAAGGTTGACTTGGCTTAAATGTTCTGCAGGATCACCACCAAGTCCCACGTCAGCAAGAAGCGCAACGCGATCGACAACGTCTTCAGGTTCTAGCACGTGCCACTTAGCAAGGGTCACCTTGTTCTTGGCGCCCACTGAGACTGTAAAGACGTGCTCGTTGTGAAGGTGAGTGCCTGTAAGCCCGTTGAGCGCACGGAACATATCTTCGTCGGTGAAGTCATCGCCGCAGCAAAGGACAAATCCCAGCTCAGCGCCACCATTTACACCGTCTTGTTGGCCGGCAATCTTTTCGCCTGGCCGATGGGCTGATTTCGAGCCATATTGATGCACTAGTCGTTTGGCAATCTCACCCTTGTTGATGAACGTTGGCCGAACCTCGAGGTTGGCCTTGCCAGTCATTACATCAACCTCCCACTTTTTGGCCACCGTGGACCTTAGTTCGTCAAATGCAGCCTCGGAAGCATGGACACCTTGCTCTGGGTCGGCCTGACGGTAGTGCCAAGTAAGCGCACAGCGCTTACGCTCAATAAATGAACCTATCGCGTTATTAGTATGCGCGCCAGCAGACTTGATTCAATGATAGTACATACCTGGGACACGATCCGTGTATTTCTGGAAGACATTCACTACCTCTGGTTGCCAGGACATGTCTAACTTCTCGGCTAGATTTTCCCAAGTTTCAGCGCCAGGATAACGAATGAAGCTGCCGTGTTCGGCACTGAAACCGACGTTTTTGATATGACCTAGGTGCTGCTGCAAGAATTCCTGGTCCCTTCCAGATATGATCCAAACCGCATTGCGATCATCAGAGGCCAGTGCCCTGATAGTCTGAATGACGCGCTCTGAAGGTATGGCTGCTTGCGGGTCTTTGACTATGGGGGTGAGGGTGCCGTCATAATCAAACATGAACAGACGCTTGCTTGCAGCTCGGTAGTGTTCGAGCAAAGAAGTGCCATCTAAGACGGGCGTGGCATTCTCATTTCGGCTGGATGCTAGAGTACCGACTAGTTTCCGTAGGAACTTGGTGATCCAACTCTGAACAGTTTGCGTTGTAACATGATTGTACAGGCCAGATTGCATAATCTGACGTTGTTCGGGAGACATTGTCAACGCATTGTCGATTTGCTTTGCCACGTTGGTGAGATCCCATGGGTTGATATGAATTGCGTCACGCAGACTCCCCGCAGTACCGCTGAATTCTGATAGGATCAAGGGTCCATGGGTATCACGCTGACACACCACGTATTCGAGGCTTGTGGTATTCATACCATCCCGCACAGATGTGATTAACCCAATATCCGCTGCCCTGAGAAGGGCGAAATATTCATCTGGTTCCAGATACTGCGGATAGTGTTGCACCGGCGAAAATCCCAAGCTGCCGTATTCGCCGTTGATTTTCATGACCAGTTCGTTCACTTTGCTGGCGACCTTGTTATCCGCGTCGTCTTTACCCTCCTTCCTACTCGTGGGCGATGTGACCTGAATCAAAACCACCTTTTCCCGCCACTCAGGATATATTTCCAGGAACCTCTCGAAGGCCATGAGCTTTTGGGTCACACCTCGAACGCTATCAAGTCGGTCTCGGCCGACGATGATCTTCTTCGCTTTGTACATTTCCCCAAGCGCGTGGCATTTTTCCGTCACTTCTTCCGACCAGGCAAGCTTTTTCACCCTTTCCGTATCAATGCCAATAGGAAACACCCCAACCTCGACACGAGCCCCAAAGGCGTCAACTCCAGAGGCATCTGAAGGGAAATCCAGGATACGAGTACAGCAGCTGGTGAAGTGTCGCGAATAGCTGTAGGATTGGAAACCGATTAAATTTGAACCCATGAGGCCCTCCAGTAGGTCTTTCCTGCGAGGCAGACATCTCAGATACTCGCTACTTGGGAACGGGCAATGCAGAAAGAATGAGATATAGATATTCGGGATTCTCTGCCGTAGCATGCTGGGGAGCAGAAGGAGGTAGTAGTCGTGTATGACGATAATATCGCCTGGCTTGTACACCTCAATGATCTTGTTGGCAAACTGGAGATTGGCTCGGTAGTAATTGGCCCAGTCTATGCGATCGGCTCGTCCGTCGCTAGGCTCTTGTTGTTTATAATGAAAAAGGGGGTACAAGGAATGCTCAGCATAGCGTCTCCATCGAGATTGGTCATACAGCGTGATACCATCGTCGTCCACATCTTTATCATCAGTCAGCCAGACAGGTATTGTCTTCAGCTTTTTATCCTCAGCGAGTCGGCGCTCAAGATTCCTTTGGTGGTCCCGCGAGATCCACAGGCCATCTGCATTAGGCGGGGTGGGTGGTAAATTGCCGTCTACAGGTATAGGCGCTGTGAGGTGGCTTAATCCAGGTATGTTAGCAGTATCGCGTTCGTTGGAAGACGCATCGTTTTCGAAGGAACAGTCTATTTCGCCCGTCCAGGCGAGTACTGAGTGATTCCAAGGGACTTCATCGGAAGAAAGATATGCGAAAGAGTCAAATAAAGCCGACAAACCATGTCGCGTTCCTAGCTCCTATTTCCGCTTGTGTTAGACCACATTTTGAAATACCCTGTGATTCTCACGTACCCATTCGCCATTACTACGATATTTGATGGTGTGCGGAGTAGTAAAAGTTACTGATATAATGTTGCCCGTGAGTGCAAGATCAGGCGCTGCAGCTTTGATGTCAGCAAGAGTCTCTGCTTGGCCGGAGGCAGGCTGGCTCATCCGCCTTAGCAGTTCTTCGCCTGACATGTTGTCTCTGACTAGATCAGACGGCGAGGAAGACGGCCAGGTTCCGTCCGGAGTCACGTCCCAGTGGTTACGTTTGGAAGGACGGTCGTGTTGTCTCGGATCTTGGGTGAAATAGCCCCGACTTTCAGATTCGTTGGACTGTGGTAAAGCCGGGGTTTTATACGTAGATTGGACAATTCCCGGAGTAACAGGGATATTGATATTGGACGCGCGTTGGTGTGCAAGATCGGGTGAGCTGCTGCTGTTATCACCTTCAGCTGGGTTCTCGCCGACTGTGGCCCGCGGAGGAATGGGGTTGTTTCGAGATTCTTGGGTTATAGGGAGCTGATGAGACCCCTTTGGGGTTTCCTGGCTTTGATCTGACATGGCTGCTTAGTTGCTCGAACCGACCGCAATTTCAAAGGATACGATTGATCACCCGACGACTGCCAGGCTTCAACAAGCAAGAACAAGAGGGAAGCAGAGTGTGAGGAGAGGGAATAATAAATAGTTTGAAAACAGGGCAGGGGAGCAACGGGAACAATTATTCGGTAGCGTCAACACAGTAAATCAAGCTCCAAGAGCAGCATTGGTGTGACAGTGGAGGGATCGATAGAGAGGTTTTTGGTCGTGGGTGACCGTGGGGGGGGGGGGGGGGGAGGGTCGAGGAGCACATCACAAGGGGGCGCGTACCAGGCCGCCCCCAAACGAAGATCAAACGGCAGAA